TACCATTTTCGAAACAAGGGATTGCATTCTTGCCCTTTCTCTGTCCTCCGTAAATGCAACCTTTTGTAAGGGAGTGTCAAACCGCAGCTGTCAATAATTATCTAACCTTGTATTATTGAATCATGTGAAAATCCTAACCTCAAAAAAATCACCCGTTAGCTGCGGCGATTGCCGATCGCATTTCTCTTTCGCATCGTATTACAGCATGATTCAATTATTGAATCATGGTATTACAGTAGACCCCCAGGTGTCATCAACATCTTCTTTATCTATTCATATTCGTATGTATATGTATACCCTGCATACCAGGATTTCATAGAATTCTGAAAGGTTTCCCAACTTTTTTAAGAATTTACTTTAAGATATCGTACAGAAATTTCTTTACCATTTCGTGTCAACCGCTTCATATGGTTTTCTTTAAAGATTCCTAAAAGAATCGTATCAAATTTGTGATACTCTTAAAGATTTCGGGACCATTTTTTGTAGGGTATATATTTACGTATATGTGAAAATATATGCGGATATTTAAACAAAGCAAAACAGGCGATAATTTGGCACAAGCGTGCTCATAAGAAGAAGCATGGCTTCTATGGCTATCACCTGTAATTGATGTGCCTTGGATTCTTTCTCATTTCTTTTCTTTTCATTCTTTTTACTGCCCAACAATTTACGGCCCAAATTTGCCAACACATACCATTTTTTACTTTGTAATTTGTTAATTTTTTCGGGGAAAGTGCTAATAAACATTTAAAATGCTGCCTAAACTTAAAATATCAGCATTTTTATTGAAGGTAAATAGTTAGGGTTGGCTGGGAAGCCAAATTAAACCAATGAAGCAATTAAAGTCTTCTTTCAATAATTCCCACAGCGTCTGGAGCGGATTAAGCAGCAATGTAGTGGTTGTCTTTTTGGTGTTCTTTATGGCGAAGGCACGCTGCTACTTATGGGTTTCAATGTGGAATCAACCATTGGACACCTAAATTATGAACAAATTCAGTTTAAGTTTCCAGCAGAATTGGATTTGTGTGGGTTGGTGAAATTTGGGGATTGCACTGATGCAGAGGCGCACTTAACTGAGATCTTGAAAGACGTCGATATTACTGACAACCCAATATTATTACAGTGCGAATTAGGTACACTTGTGGGACTGCGAGCGCATGTTTTTATGCACAGCAAATTGGAGGAGGTGCCTTATGAAGTGATGGAAGAAGAAGAATTGCATAGTGATTTTTGCTTTACGAGACTGAAATGCAGTCTAGACTTTTACACACAGCAAACCGTGGAGGTAGATACGCATACTACATAAATTCTTCATACATATAACTTAAATACTTCTTGTTCACAGGCAGTGCGACGAGAAATGCATTTGTTGCGTAAAATGTTCTCAGGCGGTAGCTTGGCGTTTTGCATAGACCCTACTAAGATTTATCTGACCAGTTCTGGTGCTCAGGGTCAGGGCTTAAAAAATGATGCGCTAATAAGTAATTTAGTGAATGCAGTTAGAAAAGCCATTACTAGTGCCGATGAAAAGCATGAAGTGGTAGAAAAAAGTAACAAAAAGAAAGGGCAAAGTACAAGTATACCATTGGCAAGCGTATTCGGAGCACTGGGTTGTGCTTACGACGTACTTAGCATTAATGTACTGCGTTGTAAAACACGTGAGCGTACTGCTGTGGATGGAGCAGGGGGAAGCAACGAAGGGCCACCACCGGCGGTAGCTATGTGTGTCAAACGTGAAGAAAGCAAGGTATGCATGCCGTTAGAAGTGGAAGCAATGGCCATGCTATGCAAAAGCACCAAAGTTAGTCGACTCTACGACATACTCATCGAGAGCATATGTCGGTCACTACGATTGTTCGAGCAAAGCATGGTTGAGCGGTTGGAGGAATCCACAGAATCACCTGAGCTACTTAGACCCTCTGGTTATCACTTCTTTCCTAAGGTATGACCTGTGAGTTAATATATTACAAGTATTTTTTAAGCAAACAACAAAACCGGCTTAAATTCTCATTTAAAAATGAAAGATTACCGTTAATTAACTAATATTCCGTCGAATTGATAAACTTTTTTTTTTTTTGAAGTCGGTTAATAATTTTCAAAATGTAGTTGACTAATTCTTGAAACTTGAAATATTTCTCAGGAATTTGGTCACTTTTTATCATGCTCCTACTTGGACGGCGTATCTGATGATGAAGCGAGTGTACAAGAGAAACGTAAAAAGTTGCACCGCCACTTCGGTTTACCCGCAATACGCCCGTATTTTCGTCGTGCCAATCGCTGCATTTTCCGAAATGACCTTACGGGAGTAATACCTTTGGTAAACACGCACGTGGGCTTGCGTCCAAGTGGCATTGTCGATGGCAAGCAATACCTCGTACAGGGCAATTACTATTACTATCACTATCTACAGGAGAAAATGCAGGATAAAGGATGGGGTTGCGCATATCGATCATTGCAGACGATTTGCTCGTGGTTTCTACTGCAAGGATACACAGAAAAGCCAGTGCCAACACATCGAGAGATTCAACAATACTTGGTACGTATTGGCGATAAGCCATCGAATTTCGTTGGTTCATCACAATGGATAGGTTCAACAGAAGTCAGCATGTGCCTTCAGGGGTTTCTTAATGTCGATTCCCGAATACAGCATGTTACTTCAGGTGCCGATGTAGCAACCTTAGCTTCCGATTTGGCTATGCATTTCCAAACACAAGGTACGCCAATTATGATCGGTGGCGGTGTGTTGGCACACACCATTATCGGAATAGATTACTGTTCGCAGACCGGGAAGGTTAAGTTTTTAATATTGGATCCTCATTATACGGGAGCCGATGATTTGCAAACAATACAGGCGAAAGGTTGGTGTGGCTGGAAAGGCGGTGACTTTTGGGACAAGAAGAGCTACTATAATCTCTGTATGCCTCAGCGACCGATTATGTTCTAGGTAGGCCAGTGGGGAAGTTGCGAACGTTTTCAAGTGTTTTAGTTAGGGTTTGAATTGCTGCCGAAGTAAGCAGTTCTTCGTCATTTTCGATACTTTTGCAATGGCTTAACTGCGACCCTTAAATGTAAATCAGCAAAAGCGAAAAAAGGACATGAAATCATTTGACAAAGTCATGCAGATTCCATCAACGAAAAGTCATGAACGACTTCCATATAAACGGAGCCCAAAGTCATTGAAGACTTAACATGACCGTACAAGACCCTAAGTGACTAATGCATGAAGAAGCAAGCGTACTTTGTTGATATACTGATGAAGATATGTATCTACTTAATGAGAGTAACGCAGCAGAAAAAAATCAAAAGAAAAAATGAGAATACATAACACTACTGCTTGCAGCAACAGCAAAATTTTCTAAACTAGTTGCTGGCTGTCTAAGCAAAAACAAACTTCCATTTAGTGCTCTTCAAGGCGCATCCATATAAGGTGGTAGCAATTGCATATAAGCAAAAATCCTGTGTATTTTGTGATTGCTTTTTGGTACATCAGGATGTGCTCATTTACACACGGCGACTGGAAACGAGCAACACTAAAAGGGAATATGAGAAATCGCGTCGTTAAAAGTTTCCATATATAAACACAGACTTAAGCAAAGGCAAATGATTTCATATCTCTTTTTCGGTTTTGCTGTTTGCTTTCGCTGATTAATATTTCATAGTCATAGCTAAGACATTGCAAATGCATTGAAAAAAGTCAAGCAATTTCAAACCCTGGTTTTAGTTTACTAATTTTATACGTGTAAAGATCCGTCTCAATATTTAGTTTGTTACCATTTTTGGCTTTATTTTTTTTTTTTGTGTGGTGTTAACCACTTATTGTTGTAGTTAAAATAGCATATTATATATTTGGCGATATAATGTGTATCAAAATGTTTTTTGTTTTTTTAGAAAAAGTAGCCAAACAAAAGCCAGCGAGAGCAGCATTTGTAATATTAAGCACCCATGTACGTATTTTTATTAAATATTATATACATACATACAATGCGAGAGCCATTTTTAATCTATTGTAAGATGCAAATTTAAATTACCCATTCTACAACGCCCTCCTTCACGTAAACGGAGAACTATCCGCCGCTCTTGGAGTATCGTTTCCAAAATCGTTTAACGTCATCATGCCCGTTTTTAGTGACAACCATCGTGCGCGTTCGTTCATTCATGTGTACCAGAACATTTATGGATTGCGCATAATCACGCAACGTCACAAAATCAGCCTGTGATAGGAACTGATTGTAAACAACACCTTCGGTGTACGTGAAACGATTACGCTCCAGTTCCCACAGCTTAATTTGATCTACAACTGTTGGTGGGAGTGGAGACTTTGATTTAATAGCTGATTCGGTCAGTTTCATGTTCGGATGGGAATACTGTTCCAAGTAGCTAACAATTTGGTCCGCCGTAATACCACCGCGTAGCGCTTGTCGTACAGAATCGCGGGTCAATACACCCACAACCAAGTTTGGAAAACGATATAACAATTCGGTGAACAAACCCAATACTGCCACTTGCAGCGGAGAGTCGGTGTATGCGTAAACTCGGTAATTTGTTTCAACCACAATATAACCACTCTCCTGAACCTTGTCCTCCTCGCTTATTACAGCTGGTACTGCTGCATGCTTATTTGTTACGTTTAACGCTAGGCGTGTCGGGTAAAACCGCCCCTCCTTCCGTTTACGTTGAAATACAAGGCCGAATTCCCGTAAATGTTGCAGAAATGTTAACATTTTAGGGCTCATACCCTCCGAGCTGTAGTCGCGTCCTAGTGTGGAGAAGCTTAGCTGAAAAAGCATTGAAAGACACTCGGGCAGCGAAAGGCCACGTTCTTCACAAGTATCCAAGTACTGAAGCATGAAATGCCACACTTGCGATTGAGTGTCAAGTAAAAGGAACTGGAAGCCTTGACGTGTAATTGTAATGCCATCGCGCTCGTCACGCTTCATGAGATTGGCATGAAGTAGTATACGTACCGCGTCTGGACTGATAACTTCACTGTCTTGGCCTTTGCTTGAACTACCAGTGCCCACCATGTAATGCAGTACACAACGCCAACGGGCCATTGCATATGTGTCGAGGAAAGCAATATCACGTGGTTTCGAATCCTTTTCCAGCGTATGAGACATTGACCAAGGTTTGCCACCACCTAACAAAGCAATTTTTAAATTCTTTTTAAATGTTGGACTAAGCTCCCAGGCTGATAGACCACCGGGAATAGCTGTAACACGCCAAACGTTGAGCTCACTTAGGCAAGCGGTAGACGCAGCTTGTTCTCTGAATTATAAAAGGATAATAAAGATGGAAAGATACGAAATAGGCGAATATTTACTCACTTTGCATAATGCTGAGAGCCCCATGATGCGACCACAGCTTGAGGTACTGGTTGTTCGACGAAGAGTATACGTATTACAAATTGGCGAGCTATCTCAGGCAGTTCTCGGTAAACGGCTAAACAAATGGTTGGGTAGTTGTATAATTTTTCCAGTGTGTCTTGTGTCCGAGTACGTAGATACTGCTGTAGATCCATGCACTGCAAATTGGCCGGCTTTGGTATCAGCGCATATGTGGATGTAGTGGTACCTGACCGACCAGGTTTTGCATCGGCCATGTTTATTATTATTTATTTTTAGTTTTGGTCAAGTTACAATCCGGCGTGAACTACGAGATAAACGTCTTTTTTAACAGCAGAGCCGGACAAAAAAAAAGAGTATCACCAAAAATACATCTTCCGCTTCTTTTTCGTTCTGTCCATTCACAATGAAAGAAAACAAATGAAATTTTTTTAAGCTACGACCGCACTAAGCGACGCGGCACTACGCGGAACTGCGCGATGCTTTTGGTATACCGCACTGCGCAGCAAAATTTTCAATTTATTTGTTTCAAAACCTTATTTTCCTTAACAAACTCTAATCAAATTTTATGTTTCTTTACATAAAACGTACTTCTCGAATAAAATGTATCGGAATATTCACTCATAATTCGAAATCCAATACCGTCGAATTAAAAATATTGTATGAAGTGAATTGTTATGTCGTCCCGCTGGGTACACCGCACTATCCGGCACCGGAACTGCGCGACACCACGCGACGTGGCATTTTCGCCTAGTTGGTCAAATTTGCCGAGCAGCGTCGCGTCGCGTAGCTCCGCTGCTGCGTAGTACGGTATGCTCCATAAGAATCCATGCTTGAACCAAAAATACAAGATCACGTAACTTGTTCCACTCACACAGCACATCATTTTATATGATAAGCTTGTAAATAATCAAAAATTTAATTTAAATCGCCGCAGAAAACACATTCAATAAGAGGTAGAAACCGGTATAAACCAAACCGAAAAACATCAAAAACGCTACAACTTTTTTTCTGAAAATCGATTACAAATATAACGATGGCTGATAAGGTGATCTGTAGACGTTGGTTCATGGAATCCATGCAAAAAAAAATTTTGCCGCACTGTGTAATCTCGTGTCGCGTCGCATAGTGCGGTCGTACCTTCAAAGTGAAACGATAGCTATGACTGGCAGCTGTCAAAATGAGTAAACCAAAATTCGCGCCTAATATTTTCAATAGCCGAATCTTGGATCAGCTGCATGATTCAATAATACAAGGTTCGATAAACTGACAGTTGTCTCTCTCGCACCGCTCCCTTACAAGTGGCACCGTGTTGCTTCTTTGCACATTTACATGGAAACAGTGTAGCTTTGGTGTGATATATAAGTATGAGCGTTTGTGCAATATGTTTATTTGTATATGCATATGAAGCATATTTAACTGATGAAAACATAAACTGTTTTTAAATGGGATGTTTACATCAATCTCATAGTAGTCTTATTTTAATTTTGAGTCATTTTGCATTTTTTATACAGCTAAATAGCACATAAATTACGTAATTTACATAGATACATCAATATTACGTTCAAAATTTCGTTTAAAATGCCAGATTTCCTGCAAAAACATTAGAATTTACAAAAGTAATTTCACTACAAATTGCCTACTTTGCGTACTTTTCTACTACCATTTTCGCACCAAGAGATTTCATTCCTCCCCTTTTCTCCGTCCTTCGTAAATGCAACCTTTTGTAAGGGAGTGTCAAACCGCAGCTGTCAATAATTATCTAACCTTGTATTATTGAATCATGGATCAGCTGTTTACTTCTGTTTCTGTAAATTTTGCGTTTTTTACTATTTCTTTAATTCGCTCTCTGTGAGCGTAATTCTCTCAATTCTCCATTCTTCTTCTTCCTGACAATTATCTGCTAGAAAAGAAAAGAAACCAAGGCGAATTTATATAAGGTGGTGTTACTAGCTCAGCTGATTTTGTGTATGTGTTTCGCCGCACGGCCTCCGATATCAAATTGAAAAATTTTGCCAGTTTATGCTGCTAAAGCAAAAACAAAATACATGTGAACTTTTCTTTTGTACTCCTGCCAAGGCGAATTAATATAAGGTGATAGCAGGAGTACAAAAACAAAAATTTACATGTATTTTGTTTTTGCGTTGGCGGCATAAACTGTCAAAATCTGTAACTGCCATCCCTAAATTGGCGCGTCAAGCGCCAAACAACTGTCAAAAATCCTCATGCCCATACAATTTGTATGAAGCATCCCACAATAACGCGGCGCTAACGCCGCATGAACCAAAAATACAAGATCACGTAAGAACGCGACGTTGTATTTGTAACTGGTTTTGAGAAAAAAATTTTGCAAAAGCGGGTTCGTCAGCTGAGCGTTTGTTTACATCACAAGCACCACTATTTTACACTTTTATTCTTGTAAAGAAGAGTTAATTCAACATGACAACACATTTTAAAGCATTTTGATGCATCATTTTACCTAAATTGTGCGTTTAAAGTGGCTGACAATAATTTTGGCTAGTTTTGGTTTTCGTTGTTTTCTTTGCTTTGTTTACTTTTCGCTCGTTCTCCAGTGAAACAAGATGGCGTAGAACCTGCTAAAAAAAATCGACTTTTTTCACTCTCTTGTTCTTACGTGATCTTGTGTCTTTCGTTCATGGCACCACCTTATATAAATTCGCCTTGACTCCTGCTATCACCTTAAATTAATTCGCCTTGAAAGAAACAAAACCATAAATTCGCCTTGGACTATTCACAATGTTATAAACTATTCACAGTTTTCTTATTAGCAGCTGTGAGCGCAATATTTAATTTTCGGCGGCTTGTTTCAAAAAAAAAGGTAATAATAATTGCCCAATTGGTGAGGAGCTTTTACATTTTTAATTAGGATGAGCGCCAGCGATGGGATTTTTAATAACTTACGGCAAAAACTTGATGTTTTGGGTTACACACAAACATTGCCATTGGCTGGTATACCGTTGGTTGGAGCGCTCTTCGAAGATTTGGTCAAATCCACGGAGAGTCTACGAGATGCCAAGAAAAAAATTGTCGACTTGTTAGAGGTAAAGTTTTGTGGAAGGCTCTGTGATTGAAATGTATATATAAAATACACAACCAACTATAACCGGCAATATGTGGTTTGGTTGTCATGGTCAACATATATAATTTGTGTCGTGGCAAAACATTTGATGTAGTAGTTTTTACTCTTTTGTATGGTTTAGGAAAAGGCATGTTGGGAGTTGGGAGTTGAACCATACAAGTGTGACAATTCACGCCTGTTAGCTGAGTGCAATCAGCTGCATCAACAGAGTTTAAAGGATCGAGAGGAATATGAACAGCGTAACTTCGGTGAGGCTATTTAATTATCAAATATTTGTACATACATATAAATTTTACACAAAATTTTTTAATAATGCACGCTAGAATTAAGTCAGAAAATCCGTAACCTTGTTACGGATAAAATCCACTTAGAGGAGCACTGCCAACAGTTGCAGCAGCAACTTGCATCATTGCTAGCAAAACAGCAAAGCTCATCATTTGCGCCCAATATGAAAAATGCTAAAGATAAAGGTAAGTTTTACTTTGCTCGGTCGAACGTTTAAAATTAATTAAAGATAAAACACTTTTCGCAGTAAAGAAACCTTTTATTAGCACAGTGCGTTCTGGCGAACGTATACCACCACTTATGGACAATGCTAGTAATTTACGATGCACTAAATGTAACACACAAACTATACACTCGCATGCACTAAATGGTGGCGGTAGTGCCCCCAGCGCAGCATTGAAAATTGAGTTGGAAAAGTTAGAGAATAGAGTAAAAGATTTAACAGAGCAATTGGAGTTCTATAAACGAAAGGTAATAACTGAGGCTCTTTGATTATAGTAGTGATAATGGTATGTATATTTTTCCCTCTCATTTCGCCAGATTGAATCGCGTGATCGCGAAATACGTCGCTTGAATGATCTACTTATTGGTGGTCGCCCTCCCGCAGCACTTGCAAAGGACTGCTGTTTCAAAGATGTGCGTGGTTTGTCCGAAGATATAGAATTATTGCAGCGAGAGAAATCTCAGAGTTTGAATAGGGTACGTGAGTACCAGGAACAAATGCATGAGGCCATGGAACGTGCACTTTCGTTGGAGACCCAGAACAAGCAGTTGCAGAGGGAGCTTGATGAATTGAAAGAAGCGGCGCTGTCCGTGGAAACACAAGCAAATACGGAAATTGCACAGCGTGAAGAAGAGGTGGAAGAGTTGCAAAAAGAGTTGAAGAAACTGCGCTCAAGGCAAGAGAGGGTTGGCGATAATAGAACGCAGGTAGATAGGAGAACCGATGGCGTGGGACATGGCAATGCATGTGAGACAAGCGCAGTTGCTACGCTGCATGCAGACAAACGACGCCTAAATGAACGCATCAACGAGCTTACACAGCGCGGTAAGAAGCTGGAAAAAATATACCTGAATAATTGTTTTAAAATTTTGTACTTTAGATACGGAACTGAAGAGTGAAAATGAGCGCCTGCAGAAGAAAGTAATCAAATTCAAAGGAAAAATACATGGCATGCAAAAAGGTTAGAAAATAGTAACTTATTTTAAGTTATTTGAAATTCATGTAATTGAATATTTTGACTAATTTCAATATACTAATTTTATTTAGAGCTTCAAGATAATGTGCAACAAAAAGAACAACGAATCGACGAAGATAAAGTTAGAATCAAATCTGAGCGCGACTTTTTCCAAAAAGAATACTTGCGTCTGATAAGTAAGGCCGGTTCAGAAAAGGTAGTTAAAATTACTTGTCTAAATTTTGAACTTTTCATTTCACAAAATACCTTTTTTAATTTATCAGGAAATTGACTTCCTACAATCGCAAATAAAATCTAAGGACGATGAACTTCGTTTGCTGCGCGCTGAGCTTTGTCTACGCCAACAGGAACACCTACTGCCGACGGTTGCCACAGCAAATGCGGCTAAAATTACCGCTCTAACTGAACGCTGCGACTTCAGACAAGCGCCACTAGCCAGCGCACGTTCCAATAACTCTACTAAGTCCACATATAGTGCCTCAAGTAATGATTGCGTACAAGCTGTGGTCTTGCGAGCAGAGCGTGAACGTGATTGCGCACGCGCTGAATTGGAACGTGTTCGTTGCGAACGTGATACGCTACGCGAAAAGCACGTGTCCATGCTGCAAGCGCAAGCGATGGATACTCAAAAGTCCCAAGCACATCTAAGCGAGCTGAATGCGCGCATACGACAGTTAGAACGTGAAAATCGTGATTTGAATTCAGCGCGCGTACCAAGTGAAACGCATATTGTATTGCTCAAGGAGGAAATTGAAGAATTGAAGCGAAGGCTTTTTGAATTGCAAGAGGAAAACTCTAAGCTGCGCACCAATCAAAATCAGATGAAGTGGGTAATCGGTGGATAATATGTACAAATCCCTAAAATTATTCATTGCTTTTTAGAATTTTGAATGAGCAAAGAGAACGCACGCTTCAGGAATGTCAAAGTAAGCTTACCATAGCAGAGCGGCAGTTGCAAACCGCAGATACGCGTTTAAATGATTTGGATACAAATCGTGAGACGACACATCGTGAAGCTACACAGCTGCGCAATGAAGTTGCTGCATTGAAGAAAACTTATGTGTCGCTTGAAAATGAGAAAGATAAAATATTGGTATGTATGTACATACATATTTACAAACAGACAGTATTGTCGCCATCAACACTGATGACATTAATTGCCATTTTTGGGAAATATGTTATTAAAATTCCGATTAATCCATCTGATCTCGAAAGACATAGTTTGAAACAATGTCTTAAAATATTTCTTGGGTTTATTAGAAAAGTCATTAAAGCATTACATGCGATCATTTCTTGTATCTAAACATTTTCTTGAAACTAAATACACATGTATGTAATGATTTTCTTAATACAGCAACAATTAGATGCCAAAACTGAACGTGCCTACCAGTTAGAGTTTGAACTTAAGATTTGCAAGGAGAAACGAATTGCTTTGGAAAAGGAAGTTAAAGATTTAGAGGATCAGTTAAGGTTAGTGGTGCAATTTATTTATCTGTATATTTATTAGTTTACTTCTTTTATCTAAAATCGATTATAATCTGCTTTAAAACTTTTTCGAAAAAGGGCAATATCCATAGCTAAAAGTTTATGTATTTGTATGTAAATTTAGTACATTTATATTACGAATTGTCGAATATACGTATGAAGCAGTATTCTCCAGTAATTTGCCAGTAGCCTGGATAAGAGTTTGTCGTATTTTACTTTTGGCAGGTTTTGGGAAGTCGCAACTGAAGTTTGGAATGCAATTTCTCAGAAACGCGACGATAGATTTTCCACAAAGCCTCGGAGCATGTTACTAGTTCAGGAAATTCTCAAATTATTTTGTTGTTTATTGCTAATTATTTTTAAGTATATGTAGGATCTTCTTTGGTAAAATTATGTCGAATGAAACATTTGTCAGCAATTTGGCAGCCACTTTGTATGGCATACGACAAAATGTGATACAATTTTTTACTAAATTAACGATACCTTTTTCTCAATATCTCGGAAACTAAAGGATATATCTAAAATAGATAACGTCATTTCAAAGATGGATATGTTTAGTGTGGCTGCCCTATTAACTAAATTTTTACTAAGTGACGGACAAAATTTTAGTCAATATCTCGGAAAATAAAGGGCATATCCAAAAAATGATAACACCAATCGGAAAATATTATTTTAAAATAAATAACTGCATCTATAACTGAAAATCGTCAAAATAGCGCATACGACAATATTTTATCCAGGCGACGATTCATCCTCAGTGAGAGAAACATGAATGATAATACGAAAACGCAAAAGCGCTAACAATTTGCAACTTTTAGGAACAGTTGATTAGTCATTTATTTTCCGAAGCAATTTCCTGGATATTCATATAAATCCTTAAATGTCTCGTAACCGCTTAAACTTGGTAAACAAACTAGTTTTTATACTAAATTAAGTAAATTCACGAGGCATGTTCACCCTATTAAGTATATCGGGTGATCCATCTAGACCTTTTTAATAAAACAAAAACAATTAAAATAGAAATGGATGTCGGAAGAAATATCTCTCTCTGACATTTATTTTTTAAAAATGATTTCATTCAAATGTTGGCTGCATACAGAGCACAACCGTCGGATGCATTTATAACCTCCGTCCGAATTTTCCTGTCGAAGTGTCTGTCCTAGTTGATGAGCGTGACAACCTTCGTCAGGCCGATCCCGGAAATACCCGCATTAGGGATCTCAACGTGGAGAGGGATCCCAAAGGAGAGTCTTAGCGTCCGATAACACCCCTTTCCTAGTAGCGAAGACACTTGAGGCCTTGCTACTTCCGCACTATACGAACTACCTGATCCCAGCGAGGCATCTGCATGGGTTCCGTAAAGTGCACAGCAGGACAATGGCACTTGACGCCATAAACACTCAAAAAATTCATGGTCTGAACCGAACCCGCCCCTGCGAGAAAACAGTCTTAGTAACGCTGGACCTGTCAGGGGTTTGACACCGTCAGCCACTCCACGCTACTAGAAGACGTTGAGGCTCCTTCGCACAGGGACTCAAACGGTGGTCAGCGATTTACTTGAGTCGACATTCGTCAGTAATTTTTAAAGACAAAACCAGAAAACAGAGAAAAATTTAACGGGGAGTTCCACCCTTTTTACCACCTGAACGTAGGAGGTCAGACTTCAGCTAGGAATTCACGTCGATGGCGAAATAATCCCGACGGTGAATAACTCTAAAATTCTCGGAGTTACCTTCGATAGTCTGCTGTCAGAGTACAGAGGCGCAACAAGGTCCTCAATCGCTAGCCGGCAGCACATGGGCCAAAGACAAAGAAATGTTGTTGGCAACATACAAGGCAATTGGCCGGCCGGTTCTTAACTACGCTGCGCTCATTTGGTCGCCGGGGACTGGCAGGACGCAGTGGACGAAGCTACAGACTTACCAAAACATGGCGCTCCGGACAGCCACCAGACGCCTTCTGATGTCGCCACAGCACCACTACACGACGAGGCTCAGATGCTCGCCTTGAAGGAGCATAACACAATGCTTTGTAAGCAGTTTCTAGTAGGATGTCACAGACGCGGGCACCCGAACAGATACCTTCTTGCAGCAGAGCCCTCGCCAAGGCACGTCACGAGCTGATGGACGAAGTCAAGAGGTTCATAAAACGACCTCTGGACCCGTCAGCTTACTCACAGAGAGTCGGTCCCCACTTACACCGACTCTCGACCGTTTTCGGAACACAACCACCACACGTGGATAAGGCAGACCTTCGTTTGCCTCGGGAGACTCGGGCCACAATAGCCCAACTTCGCTCAGGCTACTGCAGCAGGTTATACTCGTACCTGAGCAGATTAGAGGCAGATGTTCCCATCATGCGGATAGACACCCCACGACTAGAGACATCTCTTCGCATGCCCCTAAACCCCACTCAAGTAATCGAATTTGCACGCTTCCTGGGTTTCCCATTAGTTGAGCTTGACGACAATGATTAATGGACAAGGCAGGGCTGAGTACCGGCTACAACAACAACAACAATCATCTGGACGAAGGACGTCATTAAATTACGTGACAAGAGAAAAGTCATAAGGTCGCTGCTAGCCGGCAGCACCTTGGGAGCCGACAAAGAGACCCTGTTGCGCCAATTACCCACCGACGGAGCCGCAATTCCGTACTTGCTGTCCGTATCAACATATAAAATTGCTGCTGTTAGAGAGAGGGAGAGAGAGAGAAGCAACGACAACGTCACCGTCATGCTCTGGTGAGTTTTCGTTATCACAAAAATCCTATGAGAACATATAAGGCGGTGGCAAACTATACAGCGCCAGTGTGGTCAACAGGAGTGACACGGGGTGAAGAAAGAACACAATGGCTTGCTATACTGGAAGTCGCACGTGGAAAGTCACCATAGGAGCAGCAGCGCTCTACGACCGGAGAACGACCTCGAGCCGCGCGCAGGACATGCACGTTTGACGAGCCGCGATACAAAGCAGATCCCAACCACATACACAACGATGCAGTCAGGGCGAGACTTGTACTCGTAAAGACTACAGCTACATGGCTATCTCGGTTAAACTCAGAAGTGACAAACACCTGCCCACATAACACCCAATATCTCCACATAACACGACGGCGCTGACACAAAAACAACAACGCCAAACAGAAGTCACGACATACAGGTCGACAATTTTAGTGGTTAAGATAAAGAAATAAGGCGATCGGCTGGTCGGTGCCAAATTATTTATGTTGCGCTACTGTTGTCACCGGGTATTAGTAGAACACAGTGGACGGATCTTCGAACTGCTCTTAGGACTCTGAACGGATATCTTTTGTTGTAGTCTGTGCATAATTTACATATTTAGATAGGCCAAAATGTTCCTAGTTAAAGAGAAATTGCTTAAGGTCGAGCTTAATGCCACGTACGTTAGTACCCATGTCATGGATATCAAGAGCCATACGTCAGCCATACGTACGTCATCCGCTGAACCAGACAACCAGATGAACCTCGTTCCGCGTTCATTCACTAAATTAATACAGATTTAGTAAGTACAAAAAAAAAAACAAAACACATGACCTGTGCTCATATTTAATTTCTTTCGTTTTTTGTATTGCATAAAATAATATTTAATGCTCTTAATTTTACTATAAATATGCATATTTATCTCTTAATATTTATTCAAATGGCACACAGAAATCTCAAACACACAAAACAACAATGCTTTTTTTTTACTTACTTCACTAGTTGATTTGCTTCAAATTAATTATACATAAATCATTATTACACGGATCGAAAAACTTAAAATAATACAGTTTTATACAATTAATTTAACACTTTCATTTTACAAATATACATATGTTTGATTTATCCGTGTTATCCGAAAAATTCTAAAAACCATCTAGAAGGATATGAAAAGAATCGAAAAAATATTTATAATTGAAACTATATATAAAGAGTAGATATGTACTACATACTTAATATAAAATAACATATTTAAAGGCAAACATACGAGCATGCTGAGGTACATTCGCAGGCACAGTAGTACCATACATACATACATACACTTATGTACAGGCAATATATAGACGCTGTTGGCGGGATAGCGATAGCAGTATAGTTGAGAAGAAACGGGCATGCATTCGTTACAAAAATATGTAAATACATACATACATATGCAGAGTTGGAGAGCGTTGAATTTATTCACAGTGCTCCTGAACCAATTTCAGGTTGACTTCGATAACCCAAAACCGTTTTCCGTTAAATCGTAGCTAACTTTTTGTCTCGTAATATTGATATGCATTCCTTATATATTTTTGTCTTGTGGTCTAAATAACATATTCGTACATACATATGTATTTACATAAAGTTTTATTGCTGTAGGATAACCCCATAACCCGTGCCGACTTGAAGTTTAAGTTTCGGTCAAGAGCTGTACTGGGATCCCTGCTACATGGTACATTCTTTATTTTTACCCGTGAGCTTAATCGTAGTAAAACTGCGTTTTTAGCTTTTCAGGTATGGCCGGGCGCTATGTTAGACGGTCTGCTACAGTCAGAAGATCACTTGGGCATCTCATAGAGCCAGGGCACATTAGTTTAGATTCTCTTATCAAGAATTCACCATGGGATCTCATAACCCAGGAGAGAATATTTTCTAGAAACTTATCCCTACATGTTCTTAAATCATTGTCGATTTTTTAAAGAATGCAGATAGTCCCGTCAGTGAAACGGTGCCCAAGCTATCCAGACCTCGCAGAAATGGTTCCCCAGAAATAACGTTTTTTCGTAGTGCGAGACATTTGACCTACTTAATTTGAAGTCACCTGTTCCTTTTACTACTTAGTAGCTACTCTGGAACTTTGAGATCAGCGAGTTCCTGTATGCCCGGCTAAACTCAGTCTCTCCTTCACGGCAGCCTTACTGTATATAACAAAATTAAACTTTTGAGCGGACCAGATCCACCAAGCTTGCCAATTTTGTATAGACCTCAGCTATTAAACACATTGTAGGAGTTTAAAAGTCTGTAAACCAGATTGGAATCTCTTCTTTACACGAAAGAGAGTTAGATTATCTGTTTCTTCTGTTGGGAGGTTTGATGTTCTCTCTGCAACACTGTTTGAGCCAGCCGGTTAGACGCCCTTAGGTGTGGATATTGTAGCAGACTTACTTCCTATCTATCCCTTGGCTTAGCCCTGATTGATAGACTAGTCGATTAAGGCAGCGTTTAATAAGGCCGCCACATCAACAACGACACAACGAGTGAATTGCTCCCTTTAAATACTTATAGAAGTGCCCGTAGCCAAACATTTTTATCTCGATTGCGCCCATTCCGAAATACAATTTGAAGGTCCCAAATCCGCTTATCCCGATATCTTACATAAATAAAGATTATATTCCCGTCCCACCCGCAAATTTTTAGAGACCTACCCGATACCGCCGATCCCGGCCACTTTAAAATCAGTACCGTGGGTCCTACGGGTCCCGGTATACCGCGCTCAGCTCTAGCAAAGTAAATTTGTATATTTCCAGGATTTCGTAAACCTCCTGGACCACTCGAATAGATATATTTTGAAAAGACTTAGCCATCGTCATAACTTATTTAACAAAGTAGTTGTGGAATACTTCAAGTAAAAGATCAGCACCGATTTCACGGAAAGTAGTTTTGGAGACTATGAACAGTTATACAAAATACTATGAGAACAGTTTCGTGGTCCGTTTTAATCGCACCTTTTGAGGAATCGGGGGCACTGTGATTACAAGTTTATGAAAGAGAAGAGAATGTAAAACAGATTTAAGTTAGCCCACAGCATTCGGGTTCTACTTAAATTACATAAAAACTCACATTCCCCATTTTGTTGTTAGTTTTAAAATTGAAATTTGGGAAAATTAAGATTTGCATTAAATTTAGAATTTTCGCGTTGCTTATTCAAATACCTCGCTAGTCCCACCGTGGGTGCATTACAGCGCGTTATGCGCGCTCGTGGTAAATTTCGCTCATCTTCATCATCATCCTTCGCTTCCGGCTCTACAGCGAGTGTGTAGCCCGGCCGGCATACACATTTCGCTTTAGTACCCAAAAATCGTTGTGTTTGTGGACCAATTGTTTGGGTTTTTAGCGGCGCCAGCCATTGGCCCGGCCCGCATGGCCCCCGCGTATATAACTTGTAACAATTCCCATTAATCTCCACCATGCCCGGTGTGGATTCGCATGTATTGTCCTCCTCGTCTTCTGTGCCACCATTATCAACATTCGAACACTGCTGATCGAGATTCCAGATGACACCAGAGCAACCGCATATGCCGTTGTATGAGATGCCATCGACGGAGGGACGTGCGGTGAAATCGAATACCACTACCTGATGCAGGGAGCAAGGTCCTTGTGAGCCAATGCGATAGCAAGTATTCTGATCGGGAAAATAAAGTCGAGTTTTACCGCAAAAATTTCGTACACAACTGGTAGCATTAATTAGAAACTCGTTAGGTCCACACGGACCTCTGGTATAAAGGCGATAGCACAGGCCATCCTTCCAAGGCACGTAACCATCCTTGCATTGGCATTGCGCGCGGGGTATATCCGCCGCTGTATTGGCGACGGTGAAATTATCAGGCAGATTGAAGATATGGCCAGACGGGCAAGGTCCCGGCGTGTCTGCGAATATGCAATGCAAATGTTAACGCAACTGCGTAGT